CTGAGCCACCCAGGCGCCCCAAACTCTGTGACTTTGTAGCTGAGCTGCTGCCTCTACAGCCTTGCTCATCTGCTAAAAGGCCAAGGTGAGGAAAGGCAGCAAGCCCTGTTTTACTGAATACAGTGGGGTCAGGGGCGATAAAGGGGACATAGATAAGTTACTTAGGTGTGCTGTGTTTTGGTTTTTTATTTCCATTCAAAGAAGTCTGTAAATGTCAAATAGGGTGGCAAAATGATTTCTTGAAATGTGTGTAATTAAATATGGGAACTTTTCAGAGAAGACTACTTGCTTTAACTAGAGCAGGACTGCCCAGGCAAAAACTGTCTCCTTTGCCCTTTCACCAATACAGATAGCATCTCTTTCAACTGTATCCATTCAGTTTTAAGAACCTACTCTGTGTCCGGTCTAGCCAGAGCTAAACAAGCAGGGAGTATTCTGTTTATTTCCTGGATGGGAATCTGAAGCCTAGATAAAGGGCTGTGTTTAGGGTCACACAAGAAGTGGAGGCTGACACATCAAGGCGATGCTCTGCTTTCCTAGCTTGTGCCAACTCCTGTGCCTCTTAGAAAGGCAAATCCAACGTGGAAACAGCTGACCTCCGAATGCTATAAACACAACATGCGATAACTTTTGCCAGGATGTTTTGTAGGGGTTACAATGATATGTGTAAATTGGTGGTAAGAAAGGAAGTGGAGACAAGATCTATTGGAAACGAGAGTATATTATTTAGATGGCAAATTTCATGGGATATGGATGTTTGAAGATCGTCCATAGGCCCGTAGAGAGAGGTAAATGGGAAATAAGGTCTGTAGAATTGGTCTAGCAATGCTCTAAAAAGCTTGGGCTGGAGTAGGGGAGGCTGAAGGAGTTTTGTGCAGTTGGAATGCGAGACCAGATAACTATGAAAGATGCATTTAACGGCTAATGACTGCTGGAGAGGGTACTTCGGGTGCTTCCCCGAAGGCTCTGGTGTTGGGAGGGGCCGGACTGTGAGGGAGCCAGCAGAGGTCTGTGAGTGAGTCCTAACATTACAGACCTCTGGAAAGCGCTCTGGGTGGTCTCTGGGTACAAACGGTGGGGACGCGGGGGAGGCCGCTCCGTGGGTGGCGGTTAGGGGGATGGGCCGTTCCTCTGACCAACGGAGACTTCCCTGCCGCTGGGAGCCAACGCAGCTGTAGCGAACACATCCCTCCGCCCTCCGCCCGCCTCTCCCCCCGCTTCGCTCCATCCCGTCCCCGAGACGCGCTCCACCGACCCAGCCCTACTTTGCGCGTGACCGGAGTTCGGGCGCAGGCGCCTTTAACTGCCGGTGCCTCCGCCCCCTAGAAACCCTCCCGCATCGCCGGGCCGCAGCAATAGCCAATGAGAGACGAGCGGCGGGCACGAGGACCAATAGGCGGTGGCAACAGTGCAGGGTGCGGTTGCTAGCGGCCGGTGCCCGGCTGCTTGCCAGACTTGCCACCCTAGCGGCGGCGTCGGGGCTTCTGAACTTGGTTGCCACTTCCTGAGCCGCGGGGATGGAGGCGTCGCGCTGCCGGCTCGGACACCGCGGGGACAGGTCCGAGAGGGGTGGTGGCTGGTCTCGTTTCGAGCGGGGCGGAAGGACGGAGTGAGACCGTGGCGGTCCTCCGGCAGCTCTGAGGAGAGGGCGGTGGGCTCGGGTCGGGTCGGGAGGGATGGATTTGGCAGCAGGAGGCGAGTCTTCTGTCCCCCACTCCGCGGTGGAGGATCCCCTTTTTACCGGTGAGCGGTAGGAGGCAGCGGCTCTGCAGCGTTCACCGAGAGCAAGGACTTTGTGTTCAGGTCCTTGCTTGGGAAACTCTTGGGGTTTTCGTTACGAGCTCGTGTTGCTCTCTGTGGGCCTCGCTTACTCACAGTGTGTTAGTCCTGCTCCTCACGCACCGCCCGGCAGTGTCATAACTGTGGTGGATGAAGTCTTTCCCGGGGGTGTCGAAGCGTAAGGTTCGGGGTGATGTTTAATCATTTGCTCTAATGCCATTGCTTTTGGCAGGCGGTGCTGAATTCTGGAACGGAGTCCGAGGGCCGAAAGTGCAAAACTAATCTTTTGCTTCTATCTGCTTTATAGTAATTCTCTTTATTTAATATTGTTCGTCTTATTTGCAATATACCATACCCCTTGTTTGCGCTCCTCTTTCCTGCCTCCGCCAGAGGGAGAGCCTGGGAAATAAAACAATCCGAAATCTCAAGTCTGTCAATTTCTTGTTTGCTAGGTTAATGAAAAGTTAAGGGGGAGCGGCATGAAATCATTGGCTTCAAACTTTGGCACTGTCTGAGGTTTGAAATCATACACGCCAACAGTATTCCCCACTTTTTATTCCATATTCTCCGCTTTTTATTCCATTACCGTGGCAAATAAAGATGTAGCCTGTAAGGAGTTTATTTAGATTAGTAGATATTTAAACAATTCTAAACCATTTAAAAACGTCACAAGGAGGTGTTGGGCATGGAGAACACCTATTTTCCCCTTTCGTCAGATTTTATTTACGTGATAGCTGCGATCTGAGAGATTTGTTCACTGCACTTTCTTTTTTTCAAGTTGAGAGAAAAATAACCCACGTTTACCGGTATAACTATGGAAGTACTAGGAGGATGTAAAGTTAAAATTCAACGTCTTCGTTGAATTCAGATGGTATATGTTCAGTGTAGGCATTCAATAAATTAATTGAATGAATTTATGGCAATAAATTTCTTGGGTACCAGATTTTGGATATATGACTCATGATTTTGGGGGGAGGGGGATTGACTTTGAAACTGAGACCAGGAGGCAAAGTGGTTTTTAATTTATTGGACCTGAAGTTTAAAGGGATAATTTTAAAGTTTTCCCCTCTTTCTTCCCAAAGAAAACTGCCCTTTAATTTAAAAACTGACATCAAAGGAGAGTGTGAGTCACCAAATGTTTCTCCTGCCCTAGGTAATATTAAGTGCAGTTTCTATCACTGTTTTAACTCAGTTGTTGCTGAGAAGGAGTGGAATGTCTCCTATTTTGGCTTCAGGTTGTATGCTTAATGTTTTTGATGAAATACATCGATAGAGTTTTTGGTATTAATACCTTTCGATGTGAAGTATAACATCTGACTTTTAAGTTTCCTGTGATTTTTTTTCCTTTGAATTTTACCATGTTTCCTTTGACTCTTTACCATGAGGCAGATTTCTTTTCAATGAAGTGGAAAAATTACTAACAAACTTCAAATATTTTTCCTATTTCTGAAATATCTAGTGAAAATTGGAATTTGAAACATCACTCTCAGGACCTTTGTTGAAGCTAGGTATTTTATATTATAGATTCCCTACCTTGAGCTTTCTTTGGCTTTTTGTCCCTGGTAGAGTTGAAAGTATGGTGAGAGATTTCTCGGTGTGATGTGACCTTGTGACCCAGTTGACTAAGGAAGTCCTAGTCTGTGGTTTATCTATGTTTTCTCTTTAGAAATATGAGCAGTTTTAGTAGCTGGAGGTTATGTATTGTCCAGGCTTGTTACCGTCTCTGACGTTCTCTCTTTTTTGAAGATTTATTTATTTATTTTAGAGAGTGTGTGTGCCCGTGAGCGCGAGAGAGCAGGGGGAGGGGCAGAGGGAGAGAATCCTGAAGCAGACTCCCTGCTGACCTGGATCCCCAGGACCCTGACAACATGGTCGGAATCAAAACCAAGGGTCAGCCACTTAACCTTCGGCACCATCCAGGTGTCCCTCTCTTTTTTGAATGTTTCATCAGATCAACTAATTGTTGGCAAATAGAGACTTACCCGGTGCTTAAATATATTCAGAGTAACTAATCCGTGACTGCAGTATGTTTGGCAGATATTGAAAGCTCCTAATAACATCAAACATGCACGTATTTTTCCAAATGTGAAAGCTACATACAGACCTGGAAAGGAGAGGATAATCCTCTGCAGTAAACTTTCTTCTTTCTGACAGACTCAGACATTTTTTGGAATAGTTTTTATTTCTGACTTTGCTTGTTCTTTCCTGTGGAAACTCTGCCGTTTTCCCTGCATCTGTGCCCATTGAAAGAAAATGCTAACGTTTGTTCTTACTAAGGGGAAAAGTATGCTTGAATTACTCAGAGGCAGAGTTGAAGTTGCTTTCCTTCTCCATTTTTGAGGATTTTAGGACTAGAAGAGGCCTTGATAATTCCCTTCATTCTCCTGTTTGAGAATAGTAGAATTGGCTTCTTTCAAACTAGAATTTCCTATGCTCTGCTTGTGCTTTATTTGCTTTATTTCCTCCGAATCAATTCACTAGAAATAAGCTCTTTGTTCTACTAAATTTATTCTGCCTCATCAGACGTCCTTACTGTCAGTAATAATGAAGGCTGCAAAATGTTCCTGGCCCAGTTAAGGCTTAGATCTACGTATGCCTGAGAGAAGACACCCTGTCCACATGCTGATCGATGTGATGTCTTTATTTACCCACTTTAATCCCTGCCATGAGGGCTTGATAATGAGGGTTGCCATCTCTGTCTCTCTGCCTTAGAACTTCTGGGAAAACATGAATGATGAGTACTGTGTCATGTGAGTCACAGAACCTCTGGAAGACCACGGTTCTGAAGAGGATTATAGTAATACTTTTATTGTTTATAAGATGGCATTTGCTTTTTTACCACATGGCATTGTGGGAGGCGCTGGAAACTTCCACTGCGTTCCTGAGTTCTAATCCCAGCTTTTTCACTCTCTGGCAGTGTGATCTTAAGCAACTCATCTACTTTTTTGGCTTCAGTTTTCTCCTTTGGAAAATGGGGGCTTCTTTGGATTCCCTCAGTGATTTATAACGAATTAATAAAATGACATATATATTTTTTAATAGCGTATGGCTCAAATTTCAAAAGATACAAAATGATATTCAGTGAAAAGTATGTCTTGTCACCTTGTTCATTCATTGATGGACATCTTAGGGGACCTTCCCAAAGATACTGTGTTAAATCTATAAATATTCCTTTCCCACTCCTAAAATTTGATGATTTTGAGTTTTAGGGTAAAATATAATACTCTAAACCCTACTATCTACTTTCATCATTGACAAGAGGTGTTTTTAGAATATGAACTATAGTTCCTGCAAGTTTTTTTTTCCTGTGGTAATTACAGTATAGAAAATAGGACCATAAATAGTATTTTTCAGACAGGCTTCTAGAAGAATAAATCTTGCTATTCAGCTTTTCAGGAAGAAACTTCAGTATATAGTTTGCCTTTGATTTTAGGTTTTAGAATGCAATCAGTTTAATAGAGGATTGACTTGTTTCCCTATTGAAACATGGTGTAATTTTGTTATGGCAGTGGCATATGAGCTAGAGATAAAGTAGGAATTTGTTTTTTTTTTTAAAGATTTTATTTATTTGTTAGAGAGAGAGAGACAGCGAGAGAGGGAACACAAGCAGGGGGAGTGGGAGAGGGAGAAGCAGGCGTCCCACTGAGCAGGGAGCCTGATGCGGGGCTTGATCCCAGGAACATGGGATCTTGACCTGAGCTGAAGGCAGATGCTTAACGACTGAGCCACCCAGGCGCCCCAAAGTAGGAGTTTATTTGGCTGAGTAAAGGTCTTAAGCTGTGTTGTTTTAAAAGGGAAGATCTGTCGAAATAAAATAATCAGTGATAAGGCTTACATTTGGGTATCCTTTGCTGCCTTCATAGTGTGTTACTCATTTGATCTCTTTTGAGATCTTATATTTAGGCCTTTGATTCATTTGGTGTATGCTGTAAGTGTCCAAATTCATCCTTTTTGCATGTGGATATCCAGAACCATTTGTTGATAAAACTATTTTGAACCTATTTTTAAAACAAGTGTCATAGACTACTTTCCAACTTAGTACCTCTAGATCTACCTTATTCTTTTTAATGACCACAACGTATTATTTTCATAAATGTATGTTATTAATTGCTCGCCTGTTGATAGACATTAATATTATCTTGGGGGGGTTCTATTGAAAACAATGAAAAATAGCATCCTCGTTACATGTATCTTTATATATTTGGCCTAGTATTCTGTAAACTTTGTATGTTTGGGGATGCAGAGTTTAATTTTAGTAGAGGCTGCTACATTTCCCTCCAAAAAGGTTATAAACTTTTTCTTCAGCAGACTGTGAATGCCCATTTTTATTTATTTTTAAATATTTTATTTATTTATTTATTTGAGAGAGAGAATGAGACAGAGAGAGTACATGAGAGGGAGGTGGGATCAGAGGGAGAAGCAGACTCCCTGCTCAGCAGGGAGCCTGATGCGGGACTCGATCCCGGGACCCCAGGATCATGACCTGAGCCGAAGGCAGTCGCTTAACCAACTGAGCCACCCAGGCACCCTGAATGCCCATTTTTAAAGTGAAGCAATTACCATTCATTCTTGTTGCTCAATCCATTATATGTACAGATTGAGTACATAGTAGGCACTTAGTAAATATTTATAGGTGATAAAGATGAGGGCAAAATTGAGGGGCTACCTGCAATTTGGATTAGAGTCACTTTAAGCTGGTCATTGAGACAAAGAATATAATGCAAAATTCAGCAGCTAAAAGAAAATTGACATATGAAAGTAGGAACAAAGGTAGCCAAG